ACTAGCATGTTAACTTGTGTCAAACAGCAACAAGTTAGCTTAATTTGATTACTCTCTAAGTTATGTTTCCAGATTATTATATTGTTGATGATATTTTAAATAATGCATTTTATTTTTCATTAAAGTTAACATGTGGACTCTTCATTGCCTCTTTAACATCTTATATAATTTATATATTTTACTTTTTAATCTTATTTTACATTTTTTGTTCACTTTCAATTGTGTTGCCAGCTATACTGTTATTCCTACTTTGGGTGAAGAAACCAAGTATCAGAGGTTTTAAAAATAATTACTCCTAGCTTGTTTTACTTTAATGACTTCCCTATTTTAATATGTCATATTGTCCACACATTGTTTTAAGCTTGAAAGAAATATCTCTTATAATATTATGTGGCAAATGGGTTTCATTGGCTCAAAATGAATCTTTTAAGATGGTGATAAAACTCAGGCACTCACATAATATCAATGACTCAGCTCAGAAACAAACAGTAACACATCATACCACATGTACAATTGGCAATACAAGGGGAAAAATATATCTACACTATGAGAAAAAGAACTGAAAGGAACCCTCAAATGATTGTGGAGCATGTGGGTCCAACTTTGTATATCAAGAAAACATTAGAGGTTTATATTTTATTTTGCTAACTATTAATTGAACACTAGACCTAGTAGATGCTATAGTCAAATGTGAATCTGACAAATGACTTATTCTATGGCTTATTGTTTTAAGAATAGATCTGGATTGAGAGATGTTGGCCTAGGATAGCCCATTGATAAAGGGCTTCCTACTTGGCCAGAAATTGATAGGTTTCATTGTCTAGAAAAGATAAGCTTCAGAAACTTTCATAGCAATTTGCTATTTCTGTAAGATCTAAGACCATGATAAGAGAATGAATATCCTTAGGCAATTGTCAAACTCATGGAATGACCTAAGACACCCACTAGGCACAGAGTATAAAATTTCATTACCTAATGACCTGTTACCGAATGTCAATTGTTATGGAGATGTGCTTAAAAAGCTAGATTCTATTTTTGATCAAAAGTATTTAAATTGTCTCTAAAGGTTAAATTTTAGAATGAGATAGAGTTGGAGATGATGTTTACAGTATCACTTAACACATTTTGTGTAAAATTTAAAGTTAACAGAGATTGTTAAAAATTGTTTTTAAATCAATTTAAATTACAATATTAAGCAGTTAAGTATTTATTTCATTTTTATATTTGAAAATAGTCATTAAATATGATCTAATCATTATTATTCTCACTTTTGTATAGGTTTAGAAAAATAAAATGTTTAGTAAAATATATTCTTTCATTCAAACTATTTAAAATATGTATTGTAATATTTTAATATAATACATATTTTGAAATGTAATTGCAGGGTTTAGAAAGAGAAAACTGGAATTTGTGGTAGGGAATATTAATGTATTATTTCATTTATCTAGAAATATATTGTGTTATTTTTTTCAGAAATATTTATTATACCAAATTGGAAACAAAGAACAAGTGGAATCAAACAAACAAAAAAAGTAGTCCTTCACAATTGTCTTAGAAATATTTACTTACAGATTAGATATGGTCTAACTACTACCAAGATAAAAATTTATGCCTAAGAGAATCACAACACAATTTGGGGAAGGTGATGTTCCACAAACTGGCAAAAATAGAGCCACTGGTGTTGCCTGGAATCAGGTTTCCAGAAGGAAAACAATCAGAACTTTCAGAAAGAGGGATCTCTCAGAGACAGAGAAAACTGCACAAGCAAAAATGAGAGCGGTAAAGGCACAAAGACAGAGAGCTCTAGAGGCTTGGGAGCACATCAAATGGCTTGAAAGAGGGAAGCATCAGGTACAGTAGGAAAGGACAGAGGCTGAGGCCTGGCTCACTGAGTCTTCACATATAAAGGGAGGAGTCAAGAGTTCAGTCCATTGATAAAACCATTCTCCTAGTGGTTTTTGAGGAGCAGTTTACTATTTATTAACTGGGCCCTAAAAAGTTGTATTAAACTGCTGGAGGAATTGGAGGCCATGCAACTGACAGGAAGCAACATCTTTTTTCTTAGTTATAAGAATCACACATAGATATATACACATTTATTAAAGAACTTTGAGGAAAAATGGTGTAAGAAGAAAAAATTATCTGGAGGCCATCACTATAACATACTATATTTCAATAACATAGATTATTTCCCCTGCTTTGAAAGCATTAGTTTTTATTTTTAATCTTGATTGTGTCAATAAATAGGCATATCCATTTTATTTTTAATGATTGTATAAGTTGCTATTATATTGGAAAGATAAAAACATTAGTGTAATAACCAACATGAACAGACTTAGTAAGAGATGTATATATAACTGACATTTTCAGGATATAATTGATATAGGAATGGCATGTCAGAATGAAATGATAAGGTTTGTTTTATACTTCAGCATAAATGAATAAAGCAGGCTTTCTCTCTCTCTATTAATTAGATGTGTCTGAATAAGTTTCTTGTTTTGACATCAGTTTCTAGACTTCTATTTTTCTTATATATGAATTATGTAAAATATATAATTTTATGATATATATCATATCTACTTAATATATTTAACCCATCAGGATTTTAACATAGAAGTTACACAATGTTAGATTATTCTTTGATAATCAAAGGAATGTCAATTGACAATTTTAGACAAGATGAATTTTTAGACTTCAAGGTAACATAACTAGGAAAAAAAAGATGCTATAAAAATGGAGATTTCAAGGATCTGAACAGATCTGGGGCACGGCATTTGTTCAGTAAACCATGAACATAATCACCCATCCAAGGCTGCAGTGGCATTCTCAGATAGATGATTTGAGAATCAGCATAATGAATGACAATGCTTCATCACAAGCTACTGGCCAGGGCCACTCTGACTCTCATTTCCTATTTGATCAGCAATGTGCTGTGTTCCTATGGTGACCTTCAAGAATTAAACACAACTTCCAAATAAGCTTAGCTGAACTCCTTCAAGTGATCATACAGTAAGAAAATTTTATGAGACTCTATTGAGAATAAATAGAAAGCCTACATTTCATTTTGACATAATGATTTATAATATGGATAAGATTATACACACTATTCCTGTGAGTTCCATCCATTTCTTGGATACCTGAGGAATATAAAAATAGGGTAAACACCTAGTGACTGCTGTACAGAGGCTGAGTTACAGCAGAGCACCAATAAACACTACTACTTCAAAACAATGGACAAAGAATAAACTTTTACACAATCTCCTTGAGCTTAGACTGTTTTGACAGTTTAAAGGACTGCTTTTCTATGCAAAATTCTTTTGAAAAGCTTATTTTTAGCATCATTTAGAATATTCTACAGCTTTTTTCTAGGTTTGTTTTCTCAAGATGCAGTTTACCAAAATTTGTTAAGGAATTTATGTTAAAAATTGACTCCAAATACATTATCTTGATATCTTATAAAATGTAAAAATAGAATCTGCACCATAGATGTTGAAATATGGCATACCATTTACTTCATTTCTTTGGAGCATTAGTATCAATGTGCCAGCTATACACAGAAAAAAGACATTTCAATGAGTAGTCCAAGCTAAACTGAGAAGGAAGACAATGTCTTTGAGTTTTCCCTTGCTTTCCAAAGTCAAAGACTGCCAACTTTTTATAATTTGTCAAAAATCACACAAAGATTAGCCAATATTTCAGATCTAATGATTCACAAAACTACCAACCTTAAAAAAATTGATAACTTCCATTTTAGTTAACTGCCTCATGAAAAGATTTGCTTTTGAGTAAATAGATAACTTATATAATTATAACTGCTCAACAGAGAATGATCTGTGATAGATTTGTGAACTGGAACAAAGTTTGGAGTAAAATTATTTTAACCTTCATTAGTGATAGTGCTTATGTGAGAAGTTAATACTGTGCACTAGAAATAATCACAGAGACAAGGCAAAAATATAACTTATCCCAATTATAAATAGTTAGATAAGAAAATATGAAAGTAGGTGAAGGAAAGTGCTCGATCATGTGACCTGCAACATGATACATTGTCTTCTTTAATAAATTACATATGAAATATCAATTTAAGATCAAGAATGCTATATTTTCATTTAAAACATTCATTCATCTAGTCAAAAATAAATCTGATTGCTGCTCCATCTCTAGGAATTATCTCAGTGAGAAGAAAACAAGTATGGTTTGATCTTATCTCCATGATTGCAGTCTTTCTATAAGCTTCCATAAATTAAAGCTTAGTTTGTAAGCATAAATATGCTTAAATAAAATATTGGATAAAAAGGAATTGTCTATAAATAAAATAACCTTTATTAGTTCAAAATACAAATCTCTATTACATGTATAAATATATATATATATATATATCTTTCCTGGTAAATAAGCAAAGATATTGCATTAAGAATGATGTGCAACCATGATTACAAGTGCTGTCAGGCAAAATGGAATATTCAAAAAGTGAAACCCTGTCACTTAATGTTTGCTAACACATTTCTCAGAATTAGTTCACTCAATAATTCTCCTTCTTAATTTCTGTAACAACAAACTGAAGTCCATGAAGCCACTCAGTAACTTAATTTTATTTTCTCAAGTTAGTCTTCAAGATTGATTTAAGGAAAACAGGAGTGTTTTTATTCTAGGACAGAAAAAAAAATCACAAAGAACAGTACATACATCCAGTGTAAGGGGTAGTTTCTGAAACACCACTCCCAGAACTGATTACTGATTTTCTCTCACATGTGAGATCAAGTTCTAATGTCTGGCATATATAGATATATAGGTGACATAAGAGAGAGAGAAAGAGAGAGAGAGAGAGAGGGGGGAGGGAAAGGAGAGAGAAGGAGGGAAGGAGAGAGACAGATAGGAGGGAAATGAAGGGGAAGGGTAGCTAGGAAAGAGGAGGAGAGAGAAGGGGAGATAGATAACACCTATGATAAACATTTTGTTTTAATTACACCGAACTCAAAATTGAAAAGATCTGCACATACCATTGATCCACAATGCTTCAGGATTATGAAGCACAAATTCTTTCCTGAAGAGGTCTTCTAAAGACAATCTGGTTTCAGATGAATTTGTGAGTTCATCTAAAATGAAAGTAATCTTAGGTCAGAGATGTTTTTAAAATAAATGAAATATGAGATATAAATCTTGTAGTGTTTTGCTTGAAAATATGTCAACAATATATTACAATAAAGAGACCATTTTGACTTTTTACTTTATTTTGTGAGCTTATACTCTTTGTTATTAATTGAAACAGGGTCTGCCACAAGATCCCAAGCTGACTTCCAAGTTGAGTTCCACCTGTCCCAGACTTCTGGATACTTGAATAACAGCCAAGTTCCACTATATCCAGCCTCATAAATATTTTAAAATAATTTATTGTAAATATTAAACTTAGTTGATTTGGCACCAATTTAACAGACCAATCCTAAAATACACCATGATATACAATATGGAAGCAGAATAAATCCTGGTATGCACTATCCAAAAGTCATAATCTAACCATATGTAGCCAGCCACTCATTATCCAAACTCACTTTGATATAATCTTCTTAAGGGAACTTACAAATTCACTGCAAAATTCAAATATAAGTGAGTTGACGAACCTGAATGTGTTTGACAAAGAAATTTCCCTAACTCCAAAGGAAGAGCACCCAACAAATAGAAGAAATACCAGGTTCCACCAAATAATTACCACAAATGCTCAGTGGATTTCAGACTTAAATGTAAAGCCCAAATGATAAATTGCTACTGCTTTTATGAAAAGTTCTTTTATTTTAGCATCCTAAGACCTAGAAATGGCAATAAGAACATGGTTTGAGTACCAAAATCAGGCATCAAAAAATCCTTTCAGAAGCAAGGAACTACAGATAGCACTATTTTATTTTCATTGTAAAATAATAGCATTGTTTATTTCTGTATACATGTTTCTTTGTGACCTTTTAGCTAGGAACATCACTGTGATTGAAAATAAAATGTCAAAGATATATACTAACCTCATTAGATTTCATTTTCAAAAGTTCAGCACTTCCTACAGCAGTATCTTTGGTTTTGTTGTTGTTGTTGTTTTTCCTAACTGAATATCTAGGGCAGAGAGTCAATAATTTCAAAAGCAAGTCTCTTTGTTGTGTATTTAACCAACCAAGTAACTGCCAAGAAAATATGTTATTTGATTCCATCATTAACATAAGATATTATGATTGTATATGGTTTTACAAAAAAAATCCATTGATGTCCACTTCTGACAGTCTTACAGATCGAAACTTGAAGTTCTTTAATTTATGCAGAAGATTTCAAACTAACAACTAAAATATTTGTAAGGCGATATCTAAGCCCTGCTCAGAGGGTTTGCTTTGAGGTACCAAAACAAATAATAGATGTCAGAATAAGAATGTAGGGTGCAAATGCTCAGAGAGAGAGGAAGAGCACTAGCTTGCTATAAGAATCCAAAGAATCTTCACTTTAAAAAATATTGTATCCGCAATCTTTGCTAGCAAGAATGCAAAATGATACACTCAATTTGGAAAACAATTGGAAATTTCTTACCAAACTAATCATACTTTTACCATCAGACAAAAGAAAGATACTCCTTGACATTTGCCCAAAAGAGTTAAAACTTACTGATCCAGAAACACATTTGCACCAAAGTTTGTACCAGCTTTATTCCTAATTACAAAAAAAAAAAAAAAAAAACCAGAAAAAACAGATATCCATCCAAGGATGGATAAATAGATTACAATATATCCAAACAATGGATTGTTTTGTAATTCATTGCCACAAATTGTGAACAAATCTGAATAAGTCAAAGATGAACCTAAATGCATGTTAATAATGGGAAAACAAACAACAACAACCAAAATCAATGGTTAAGGACAAGACTTTAAGAGCAATAAAAGTACTCAGTATAATACTATAATGTGAAACATGTCATTATATATCTAATTCCATAGAATGTATGACATCAGTGTGAACCCTAACATAAACTATGGACTTGCCTTAATTAACACCATTACCAGAAGAAACAAATGTGTTTTAGATGATGGCTTGCAATTTGACAAATCAAAGAATCTTGTTTCTAGAATTTATTTTCCAGTCAGTGAATTTGGAGGTTAATCAGAGAAACTAATTTTAATATTAAAATATACTTAATCTATAAGATAATGAGATTTTATCTAAGTTTCACAATGTTATATTATCCTGAACTATGGAAGTATACCATTATTTTATCAAACCCAAGTCTTTCAATTCTTTTTTATTATTATTTATTGTGAAAATACCATACAGAGCAGTTATAATTACATGGGCAAGGTAATGAGTACATTTCTTATCAAGCATTGTTGCCTCCTCCTTTGTTTCCCTTTCCCATCCCTTCTCATCTCCCTCCCACCCCACCCCTGGCCAAATATGTAAAGTTCGTTTTTCGACATAACGACTTGTACATCTCATTGTTGCAATGGGTTCACATGTATCCCTATTTAAATGATTTGTTTTTTCCCTTCCCTCAACAAATTATACCAACATCAAATACAGTAAAAGCAGGAGTTATATCATGGGAAGGGACATAAAACGCAACAAAGAAATCATCTTATAAATATGTTAGAAACAATCACATGAAAGAAAAAGCATTTGAATACTTATCTTGGGGTTCATTTCACCTACCATCAACTTATCTGACCTTCTCTGCTTTCAATTCTTAATTACATTTGTATAATCTCTGTTTGATATACACTTATTTATTTAATCCTATAAATTTATATAGGTGAAGTTAGGAAGTAAGAATTTGTTTATTCCAATGAAAGAGATTATGTTTAAATTATTTCACTTTTTCTCCTTTTTTTTGTGGATTGCTGTGGATCAAATGAGGGACATGAGGCAAGCATTCTACTACTGAGCTAAAATAAAACAGTCTCATGTTGTTCTTCACGTGACCATGAGCCTCTGTGTAGCCTAGGCTAGTCTGAAATTTTAAAATCTACCTGCTCAGGGCTGGGAAGGTGGCTCAGTGGTAGAGCGCTTGCCTTGCATGCCTGAGGCCCTGGGTTCGATTCTTCAGCACCACATAAGCAAAAAGAAAAAAGCCGGAAGTGGTGCTGTGGCTCAAGTAGTAGAGTGCTAGCCTTGAGCTGAAGAGCTGAGGGACAGTGTCTAGCCCAGAGTTCAAGCCCCATGACTGGACCCCCCCCCCCAAAAAAAAAAAAAATCTACCTGCTCAGACTCCTGAGTGCTGGGATAATAGATGCAGTGATTTTATGCAATTAAACACATGGCCACAACAAGTCAAGAGGTAGAACAGATGTTCTACCCTTTCTTTTTTTTCTAAATATATATATATACATATATATTATTGTAAAGATATTGTACAGAGGAGTTACACTTACATGAGTAAGTTAATAAGTCCATTTCCTATTGAGCATTGTTACGCCCTCCTTTATTTTCCCCTACCATCCCTTTACTCCACACCTCTCCAACTCCCTCCCAACCCCCTCATATTCCCTGCAAAGTTGTAAAGTTCCTTTTCAACATAATATCATGTTTGTCTCATTGTTCCAATGAGTCAACCTGTATCTTTATTTCAGCACTTTGTTATTTCCCTTCCCCTCCCCAAATTAATATATATATATATATGTATACACACACACACACACACACACACACACACACACATATATATACGTATATATATATATATATATATATATATATATATATATATATATTCAAGATGCAGGACACCAGAATCAAATACAGTGACAACAGGGAGGAAGAACAATGGAGGAAGAACATACAAAGAAACAAAAATAATTACATACTACATTATAAGTACATTAAAAATAAACAGCAAAAAAGATAAAATATCTTTATGTCCCTATCAAGATCACACTAAAGCTACCAGCACAACTATGTTTATCACAGCATTATTATATGGAACCAACCCAGATGCCCCTCAGTAGATGAACGGATCAAGAAAATGTGGTTTATATACACAATGGAATTCTATGCCTTCATCAGAAAGAATGACATTGTCCCATTTGTTAGGAAATGGAAAGACTCATAAATATTATACTAAGTGAAGTAAGCCAGACCCAAAGAAATATAGGTCTATGGTTTCCCTTATCTGCAATAACTAGTACATGTCTAGGACAAGCAGAAGAGATCAAAAGCTATGTGCATATGACCATATAACCTGATGTTCTAGCATTTTCTTAGCAGACCTTCTCCACCAGCATGCCCTGGTAATCAGAGCTCTTTTCTGTAACTCTACTTTTGAAATTTTAATAATGCTACATATTTGTAATCACATAACACCTTATTCTTTTGCTATTGACCATTTTACTCAGGAAAGTTCTCTTGAGTCATCCAATTTGTTAAGTGTATCAATAATCTATTCCTTTTGATGTCTGAATCACATTTCAGAGATGAGTGAAGCACAGTTTGAATAATCATTACACACTGAGAAGCAGTTGTGCTGTTGTTTTTCCTAGTGTTGAGCAATTATGCATTAAGCTGCAATAAATATTTGTTTCCAACCTTTCATGTTGAATATAAAATTTCCCTTTTTGAGGGAACCCTACTGCATTGTTGGTGGGAGTGTGAACTTGTTCAATCATTTTGGAAAGCAGTATGGAGGTTCCTCAAAAGACTCCACATAGAGCTACCCTATGACCCAACAATCCACTTCTGGGCATTTACCCAAATGATCACAAACAACCCAGATGCTCCTCAGTAGATGAATGGATCAAGAAAATGTGATATATATAATATATATATATATCATATATATATATATGTATATATATGACAGAATGCTATGCCTCCATCAGAAAGAATGACACCACCCCATTTGTTAGGAAATAGGAAGACTTGGAAAAAATTATACTAAGTGAATTACACCAGGCCCAAAGAAACATAGGTCCCATAGTTTCCCTTATTTGCAATAGCTAGTCTATATCTAGGACAAGCAGAGGATGTTAAGTGAAATGAACCCCAAGATAGGGACACAAGAGTTTTTTTTTTTTTTTCTTTATAGCTGTTGTTTTTAATGTACTATGTGAGTTTTTTCTTTTGTATGTTCTTCCCTCATTGT